CAGCCCTATTTTCTCTTAATTCTTTTTTTTTTTCTTTTTTCCAATCTGTCATGTAACGCGACGAAAAGCAAAGAGCCTATTTATTGCCTTTGGCCCACTCCGTATCATACAGATATGCAGTATCGGCCCTCTATCTTCCCTCGAGACTTCTTTCCGCAGTATACCCCATTTGCAATTTCGTCTTTTCGCGCAAGCGCGAGTTCTATCACGGATCAACTCCGTCTAGCCCTTGTCATCCTTACGTCTTCTCTCTTGTTCTTTTAACACGCGATATCGGCTACACCTGCTCCCTCTATCCATTCCTTACACGGCCACCAGCCATGTCTTCTTACCAAGTTGTATTTGAGGTTCTTTTCTGTGTCCATTCATGGTGCAAAAGCACACTGTATCTGTACTATTATCTATCTGGTCTTTTTGGCTGATCCTGGAATTGGCCTTCGGTTATGACCTTATAAGGACTTTGAGCAAGGCTTTTTTTCTCGTTATTAGCTCAGTCTTCGAATACGAGACGGTTGGGCTTTGAATGAGGTTGTTTCATACTATTAGAGATATTCTTTCGGGCTGTGGGATACAGTAGTATTAGTTCTAAGAACAGTTATGTTCTTTTTACAATTCAGCTTGTCTCTTGACTTGGCACATGATATTCACGCATGAAGCCGTTCAACACCTAGCTCAAATCCGAATTCGCTCCTACTTTATGCAACTTCCCTCTGATTTTACTAAAGCATCCAATAGCTTGGTTACCGAAAGAGATATTGAAAATATGACCTATGCCATCTTATAAAAAAAAGCAACAAGCATTGTACTATCTGAACACATGCACATCATAAAATCGTTATCATCAGCAGCAGGCACCATTTATAACCTTGTAACAAGGATAAAATACCAAGGGGAAAGGAAATGAAAGACCAAAGAAATGTGGTACGCAAATGTAAAAAATAGAGCTGATCAAAGCAGAAAAATCCACCTAAAGCAGAAGGAAGAGACACAAAGCCAAGGGGATGAAGGGGGATAGCGAGATAGAATGAAACACCACACGGCAACCCGCTCGCTAGAACAGAACCTTGGTAAACTTATTCACCAGGTCCTCTAATTTATCCACAGCAGGATCCCGCTCAGGAAGAAGACGGCCTTGCTCGTCAAAGCGGCTGGGTAGGTCGATGGTTGAGTCAGATTCTACTTCAGAGACTTTGTTCTGGTCTCTTTGCTCATGAGGTTGCGGGACTGACGGGTGATGCCGATGACTAGAAGCAGGACTAGGATAAGGCATAGGTGGATAGGGCACGGATGAAGAGCGGCGATGACGATCATGATGGCTATCACGATCTCGATCGCGACTGTGGTTTCTACCTCCGCGATGCGAATATGAATATCGCTCAACAGTAGAATCACTATCATCGGTCTCGTAGCCAGGATCCTGCGGGGAATCCGTCAAGTCGAAAGCGACGGATTTTGGGGCTTGTGGCGGCTGGCTAGTTGACCGGTGTGGAGATGTTGGGAATGGGTGGATGTTTAGACCTGTCGATTGGAGATTAGCTTTTATTTCGATATATACACAGTTGGGGTTCATTGAACCCACCCTTGTGCGCGTGGTATGCATCAGTAGGTAGGGTGGAGCTGCTCACATTGTCTTCAGCCCTACGTGGCCGAGGTGCGTATTGGTCTGGTCCCGGTCCCGGTCCAGGTCCTGGTGGCACAGCGCCATAGGCGTAAGGCTGAGGCGGGGCAGCGCCAGGTGGAGGAGGGTAGTCTGCTGGGTTGTATGAAACAGGAGTACCGCCGTTCAGATTATAGTTTGAGTCGCCTGGGGGCGGGGGGAAATAATGGTTGTTGGGGTAGTGGGGATCAGCCATGGGCGGGGCGCCCGGGGCCTGTGGGGAAATCGGGTATGGTTCTGGGTCGTAGGATTCCTCATAAGGATCACGGTGGACGTCATCATGCTCTAGTTACACCACTAGTCAGGGTGAATATTTCTCGATAAAATGTAGGGGAAGTGGGAACTCACTGGAATACTCGCGCTCGCGTTCTTTGGACTTACGACGTTCGTTGTACTTGTGTGCGGCATAGCCGAGCCCTGTTGCGCCTAGGGCGGCGCCCGCAAGATCTCTTGAGCGACTGCGGTGCTTCTTGCTTCGTCGGTGGCCCTCGCGGTCAGAACCGGATGAGCTGCTGTAGCGGGCTCGGCTACGACTGCGGCTACGAGTATGGCGTCTCGGGCCGTATGCTTCCTGTGCGTCGTAGGGCGCGCCTCGCTGACCGTAGTAGTGCTCAGATGGGATGCTACCTGCGACTGGGTCGTTGCCGTACTCGATCAGGCCGGCTGAGTCGCGAGCTGGATCGGGATAGGACTGCGACGGGGCGCGGCTGCGAGATCGTGAGCGATGGCGGCCCCGGCTCGAACCGCCCTTTTCATCTTTCTCACCCCTCTTCTTCTCGTAAAGACCCGTGGCAGCAGCGGTGGCAAGACCAGCACCGACAATAGGAAGGGCTTGTCTCAGACGACTGCGGGAGCGGGAGCGCTCACCCTTTCGAGAGCGCGAGTGGCTGCGGACCTTTTCGACCAGGCCTGCCACAACCGCACCGGCTAAACCAGCGCCAGCCATGTGTTTGCGACGCTCAGATATGCTGCGTTCACCCTGCTCTGAATCCTTCTCTGAACGACCCCGGCTAAGAGCCCGAGAACGGGAACGAGTGCGGGATCGGCTTTTGCGGTCTCCAGCTTTCGACTTCTGTAATGCGGCCATACCAGCAGCAGCAACACCAGCCACGGCCACAGCGCCAGCTCCTAGTTCGAGCAGATGCTTTGCACGAGAGTGAGAGTGGGAGCGGCTGCGACTGCGGCTGCGGCTGTGACGACTCCGGCCATGTCTGCTGTGGCGATGGGAAGAACGGTCATCGTCAAAGGAATGAGAACGGTGGCGGCTCTTACTACGGCGGTAGTAGTCGCGAGCATGAGATGCAGCATTCACAGCGACTGCACCAAGAGCACCGGCACCAACAGTCTTACCAATACGACCGGCACCATGACTGACGTCGCCATCTTTTTTGCTGTTGCTGCGGATCAATTCGGCCACGCCAGCACCTACCAGTGCGCCCTCTGCCATATGACGACGGTGGTGAGGGTGGTCATCATAGTCGCGGGTTTCCTTTCGGATGTAAACCATGCTGTCGTCGCTGCTATAGTCTTGCTCACGATCGCCGCGGCGGCGGCGACTAGTCTGGGAGACGGAATCTTCAGGACTCAGCTCACGTCGGGGGCGAGCATCGTCGTACTCGCGAACTCGACGGTGACGGTGATAGTAATACGGATCCTCATCGGCCTCAGAGCGGCGCACGACATCGTACTCGGATTCACGGGGGCTAGTATACGCAGTGCGGGCTTCACGAATAAGTACGGATTGTTTTCGAGTTGCAATGGCAGTAGGGGACTGCTCTATTCGTTCCAGGGAATCCATGGACCGGGAGTGTGGACGATTGGTGTAGGGATGTAGGTACTCACAATCGTAGTAGTCTCTCTCATAGCGCGGTGGCTCATACTCCACCTCTCGCTCGTAGCGCGAGACGGTCAGAGGCTCTTCACGATCTGTTTTGCGCCGGATCACCACCTCGCGCTCGCCGCCGAAAGAGTCATCGTGTCTCGACATGAAGTCTCGACGGTCATCTTCAGGAGGAATGACGTAGCGCTTGATTGACACGGGACGAGTCTCATCCCAGTCTCGTTCGCGGTCTCTGTAAGTGTACGACATGAGACGTGATAAGGGCAGTGATAAATGAGAAATAATTGAGGAATGAGTCGAGAAGTAAGAAGTTGAAGAGCACAAAAAGTAAGATGCACAATGCAGGAAATTGAGGGGGGGGGCGGCAGGGAAGTGGGGGGTAGAGAGGGCGACTAATGGTCGAAGATGATTACGGTAGAAGCCTGTCCAGGCGATGCTGATTGGTAACGATTATCTCAGCCAAACAGATCAAAGCCAAGAGAGGCCTGCAAACGCCCAGTGGAGTTTGGATAATGATTCGAAAGCCACGGATCTTCTGTAGGGCAGAGAGCGAAGTATTGGCACACACTAACCAGCTCAGTCTCAGGAATGATCTGCAGGCAGCACTGTATCAGGTTCGATAGACTTGGAGTGATAAATTAGCGAAAGAAGATGAGATGGCAAATGTGAAAGAAGGAGAAAAAAATGGAAGCAGAGGCAAAGAAGATAAAGGCAGACACGTGAGGCTCTGTTGAAAAGATCTTTGCCCGGGGGGGGGGCTGTGGCGAAACTGTGGGAAACTCTCAAGATACCATCGTGGCTTAGTTGGGAATGATTTTTGTTTACTTTCTATTGTTTGGTCCTTCCCGTTGTCTGTCCATGGGTTCTATCAACTGGCTCGGGTTAATTCCATGGTTCTTTCTGTGGTCCGAAGTTCAAATACACTCTATTGATACATACAGTACAACTATACAGATATGTACTTCGGTAAGTGCAGTCTCACCTGCATAACAAATGTCATCTGGTGCATTGACAGGTGCATCGAAGTCTAGAAGAACGGATCGGCACGATATGCACACCGTCATAAGAACAGTTTCCTGTAGTTTCAGCCGATAGGGCACATAGCGCATAGATCTCTAGTATTCTAGGTTGCCATTTTAAAAGTATTATTTTCTATGTTCCACTAAGCGCCCAGGAGTTGACATCATAAAAAAGACCCAAGACTTATCTGTATCACATTATCCCCCCGGGCAATAAGAGGCGTCAAATTCAATGGTCTTTTGTGCCCGGATGACGTCATGCGGGGCGTTTTTGGTCATTTATGTATTTATGTACTTTTGTACTTTTGTCCAGGGCTGAATAATGCCCTCCTACCGCTTTTTAAAACCGAAGTACACCCTCGGTCAATTTTGGAAAACAATTATTTTTCATATGTGATTTTGGTTTTCAAGACAGTTTCTGCATCTCTGCCTCTAGACTTGCACATCGTCACAGTCCGTGGAACCAATAATATCCTTCCAACTATCAAGCATCTCCTGTTCGCGGGCAATACTGCCCGCAATAGCGGACAAGGAATCCCGTCCTAGAGCTGTCTAACTCGGGAATGCGGTTTTTGGCAGTGATCTTATGGCCACCAGTGAGGAAGTTGGTGCGGAAGTAACCCGGTTCAACACAGGTGACCTCAATGTTGAAAGGAGCTAGTTCGTTGCGTAGGGTTTCGGTGTAGAGCGCGATGGCGGCCTTCGTGGCGCAATACACGCCCACTGCCGGAGCGCTCTGCCAGCCGGCAATTGACCCAAAGTTGGTAACGACCCCGAATCTGTGGGCGCGCATAGAGGGGAGAGCCGCCCTCAGGATTCGTATCTATGAAAAGACGTTGACATCAAACTGATCGAAGATTTCTTGGTGGCTACATGGATTAGAAATTAGAACTGGATTCAAACCTTCAATATCGCTATAAAGAATAGGGGATATTTACCTGCACTCTTCTATACCTCCTTCCAAAACATAGCCCGCGTTGTTTACCAGGATGTCAATTGGTCCAACAGTAGACACAACGTCGTCGATAACCGCTTTGACTTCGTTATCGCTGGCTTGCACATCAAGCTTCTTTGCAATAACGCCCATCGATGTCAGATCAGATAGCTTGGAGGGGTCGCGCGAGGTGGCAACGACAGTCTCTTTGTTCTCAGCGGCCGTAATGGCCAACTGGCGTCCGAAGCCGGAGGAACAGCCGGTGATGAACCAGATACGGGGCATTGTGGCTAATGGATTCGACTGATTTTGTTTTAGGGTTAGGCTGAGATAGCGAAGGTATGGAAATAAATTTAGAAAGAGGAACCGTACAAGGCTAGTTGTTATGAGTTATAAGTGTGCACGAGACCATAGCCAGGAATAAAAGAACCAACGCATCATGGAATTGAAACTATACGTCAACGAGAATCCGATATCCCCGGCTAACTCCTAACCGGCCCTTACATCTTTATAGTCCCTCCTTGCGGAGTGTCCACATATGAAGCGGAAGGGATCACCCATCTGGAACATCAATTCATCACTTTCTCTTTGATCAGCCACTCACTCCATATGCCTAAATCAATTCAAAATATAACATTCTATTAATAAGGTTATGGGATTAGTGTGCGAGTAAAGTCCTATACCGTGAGAACTACGTGTAAATGCACAGGTCCTAGAGGTCAACTCCGACAATAAAAAAATAGAAAACATGATTTTAATACTATAATTTTCCTCACAGTCTTGTTTAACCTAACGTATATACTACGCTTAACTATGTAAATCCCACATCCGATTTCAGATGGTAGCCAATTAGAACGATTCTGGGCAGCGGAGATAGCACTTTCCCCGGCCGTTTACTTGAAACTCCGAATCAAAACTCCGTCGAGACCATTCACCAGTCGATACAGCAACTGCAGAAGATTGATGGCCAGCCTTGGCGTCAAGTCGCCTTGATCGATCATCCCCAGTTCGCTGGCGCGACAAGTTCCGAGGGTCGGGGATATCATTCTTCTATACGGAGTCTCATGGGAGGTCAGGTAGATTTACCCGGCTTTCCTGTCTGAATTTCAAGGCGGTGCCAATCAAATTGACCCTAGACATTAGAGGCAGCTTCATACTATCAAAGCCAGTCGATCATCACCGCTCATGGGGCTGCCTACTTTGCCGGTTCGTATAATCGCGGAGCATTAGAATATGACTTGAACACTCGGGATTTCGATACTAAGCCGCTATCACCGTTACTTACCTAGTCGAAGCTCTGTAAAATCCATGTAATGGATAGCGAACTACAATCATACAGGGGCTAATCCATTCTACTGATTGGACACTATGCACTGAGTAATCAGCGAGCATCCCCGGGGCCAATGAGCACATCCATTGATAGTACTGAGCCTCACGACCGTGACCTGAGTCCCTCTAAACCCGTGCTGACATCTACTCAGCCTCAAATAGTAACCCCCCAGGGAAAAAATATAACATAGTGAAGGCTGAGTGCATACTTGTGCACTACTTCGCCCCCTCCAAAAGTTATGAAGATACGGTGAGGTAAATATCAATATCAATTAATTCAAGCCATTTACGAATCACAAGGTCGCTGAATGCCAAAGGTACTAAAATGACATCTGGGGCTTAACGTAAATTTATGTCAGACCCTAGACTCGTATTGCATGTGTCGCGCTAAAGTCAGGGTTTGTCATGAGGTTTCTTTCTAACTTATATTTCCATGCCAGTGGTAGTGGCAGCCTGTCCAAAGGAAAAGTAATGTGGCCGTAACGAAATTTTGGGAATAGAAAGCACTCGGTTGGATGTCAAGTTACGATTGTTGCTTTGACCCAAGCTTGAAAGGCCATTCCATGGTCTACCGTTTGGAATCTGAGGGTGCTTCCTACCAATTTATAGGAAGGCATTTCTCTCCCGCCGTCGGTGAGATCAAGACCCCAATACACACAAGCAGAAAATTTGATTGGTGGGCTGTTGAAAACCGTTATACACAATCAATATAAGAAGCAACATCAGAGCACTATTCTAAATCTCCGTCTTTCTAAAGGCCTTGGGTATCGGCATCGTAAGAGGGGTATCAGTGCGCGCTTTCTTCTGAATGAGATGCTCAAACGAAGGCGAGGATTGAACACGAGGCGTGAATGGCTCAAAGTCCCAGAGATAGCCGAGAGTGCGCAGAATTGAAGAAGCGGAGTAAGACACGGTCTCGCCATCCGAGTTAGTGCCCTTCTGCTCGACCCGACCCTTGGCAATCCACGGCGAGATCAAGATAGTCGGGACACGACCACCGAGACGGTCGAAGGAGAACGTATACTTCTCACCGCTGGGTGCTATCTCGGTGTAGGTTAGGTCATCCGGGCGGGTAGCCAGCGGGGGTGGGACGTGGTCGTGGAAACCGCCTGTCTCATCAAAGGTGAGGATCATGAGGGTCTCCTCCCACTGTGGGCTGGAGCGGACTGCGTCATAGACATTCTTGATGAGCATCTCACCCTCAGAGACAAGGCCGGTTGGGTGCATGGAGTTTGTGCCCACGCCGCAGCAGTTGGGGTCGACGAAGGAGAACTCTGGGAGCTTGCCGGCTGCCGCATCAGTGTAGAAGTTACTCAGGGGGACTGCTTTGTCGGCATTGCCGCTTGTGAAGGTCCAGTCAAAGAAGTAGGCGTCAACCATATTGGGGCTTGTGTAATAGTTCTTCCAGGTGTGGTTGGTCTCTGAGAGCTGCTGGAAGATGGAACGTTGAGTGAGACCGTGGACGTTTACCTCAAAGGCATTATCGTTGGTCCCATGGCCGGCAGATGTGCCTGAAAGTACAAACGCCCGGTTGGGGTTGGTGGGCTATTTATACACGTTAGAAGCTATACGCGGCGGATATAGAGTATAGAAATGTGCTCGGACTTACGCCGGGGTGGTCCGAATGCCAGTGGTTGAAGGTGAGGTAGTTTTGCACCAGCTCGGTCATTACCGGCACCTCGTCCTCGGTATAGTAGTTGATGACCTGCTTGGCCAAATAGGCCTTGTCGGCATCATCGCCATAGCTGCGCAGCTGCTCATGCACAAAGCCATGCTGGCTGGGGGTGAGCTTGCCCTCGGCAATGTGGACATTGCTGGGGGCGAAAGTGCCATAGAACTCGATATTGTTTCCGGTCACCGAGTGATCGGGATCATCCAGGACAGAGTCAAAGTCCTTGGCAGAGCTGCACACTGTGCCAGCTGAAGCATCGGTCAAGTTGTACGGGTTGCAGAAAGGGCCATTGTTGATAGGATTATCCAGTCCCTTGAGTTTCTGCCCACCGAGTAGGTTATCCACAGAGCGGTTTTCCATTTCCAGGATGACAACATGCTTGATCTTGCTCTTCAGATTGGCGATGAAATCCGAAGAATGAGGGGATCCTTTAGCCTTTGGATCAGCGGAGACCGCCGCCGCAAAGGTCAACAGACCAAGAAGAGCACTGAGGTTCATTATGAATCAAGAGGATAGTCTGATCCAAGGAATGGGCAGATTGCTTGATTTTGTGGGATGAATCAAAGGATTTGGTGTCTCTTAAATGTATTTAGCCAAATATCCCTGGCATTCCTCAGAACAAAGCAATTTCCAGTATCCCCTTCCACGTGTTGCTATGGATATCTCGGCTCGATGAAGTCCTATCTAGAAGCATGGGTATGGATAGTGGTAGTTAGCAAGTTGCGGGGTCATATAAATTAACACTTTCACTGGGCGGGGAATAACACCAGTATGAGATGCACCCGATTGGCGATTGTCGCATCGTCTCCATAATTCATGCGTGATTGGCCGCTTCCGGTGGATTGGCAGGCACCTAGACCACGTAAAAGAGGTATCAGCACAAGGGTTGCAGCATTAATGCTGTGCTTCACGCCTACTCGGAATAGTGAGCATCGAGGCGGGTGTATTGCCAGAGTCTGCCAAGCATTCGCACAGACAAAGTGCCAACGCATGAAGAATGACCCTAGAAAACAAGGTCACGAGTTGCCTGGCCAAGCTAGATATGTTGGCAAGCAATTTCATTCGTCCACTCCTTGCGGTGTGGAATTCTGATCACAACAAGACATATCGGGATGAAGTGCGGTTTCCACAACGCTCAGCATACAGTGTCGATCATTTCAAAAGGTCACATTTAATGCCTCTCTCATAAAGTAGTTGATCTCACTTGGAGTTGAGTCTCACGCGTGCCCAAGGCCGTGCGTTTAGCGAAGGCGGTGATTGGCTGTCTTGCAGCAACCAACAGCCTCAGGTGACCGGCTGGATTGGGTTATTTCGAAGACTCAAGTCAACTCCGATGTAGTATTCGGGGAATATGGAAGTGGCACAGCTTGCTCCAGACAAGCTTGTGAAGATGCGGGGATACGATGTCGTGTTTTCCACCTAGGATCACTCGTTTCTATCTATTGTAGAGTATAAGGTCAAGTGACAGTGTCTACAGTGTCTTGGACTCCAAGAAATCCAATCTAACACATAGATTGAATTTAGGCTAAAGGTCTTAGTTTCCTGCTCTCGATCATGCTCGGAATCACGGTACGGGCTGACAGTCCGAGGATGCTGCTGGAGTCATCTAATGTTTTCAATTTCCATAGATCATTGAGATATCTATGCCAATTGAAGATATGAGAACTTTTGCGTGATTGCTAGTCTGCCTCATCAAATGTTATACATAGAAAAAGTCTCTTGCACATAGTAGGCTTTTGTTTCCGCCTTTTTCTATTGTCTACCTATACAACTGAAAGGGGGGAGAAGATATCTTAAAAGACATTTATGTTGTAAACAAGATATCTGAGACCACTAAAACAGATAACCCCCCAAAATTTTTACTAAACAGACATCACAAGGCTGCATACGACCATCTACTCTTGTATTTATAGTGCCACAGTCTTCTATGTCAATATGATTCCGAAAGGGGAAGGTGGGTCTATATATCACGTGCTGGTGCCTTAATTTAGTGCCTCTAAATTATGACCGCACTCTTTACATGGCCGAGGTATATCAATTTGTGTCTATACCTTTCGTTAGGATGCACTTGATCTTGGAAATCCATCCAAAAGCTGACTGTTCTGAAAGTTCCCATATTTGCATCGGGGTAATTGTTGATGATGCAATCTTCAAATGTCTCCGATGCCCGCCACTGGCGTGGACGGGCATGGAAACAATTAATAATCATGTCTAGATTTCCAATCTAATCTCGCCTCATACTTCGTTCCTTATATATAGGTCAAAAAGAAACCCCCCGCATTTTGTTTCTAAATCGGCACATAGCAGTATCATACTGTGGAAATACATTTTTCTCTTATTTGCACGGAGTTCAACAGCCCCACTACATTCTCATCAGCAAAACCCATTCGATAACCTCAACATCACAAACCTTTGATCTAGACCGTCAATCACACCACACCATTATAAAAATGACGACTGCAGCATTCAGATACATCGACCCAGCTTCGTACGACCCCAATGCCACAGAGCCATTCAAAAAGGCGTGGGGCAAAGTCGACGGACCAGGCCGCTCCTACCAACTCACAGAACAGGAGCGCAAAGTGGAGGACCTCCGAGGCCAAGAGTCGAACTTCACAACAGACAATTCCGGCTTTGCTTTATACCACTCCCCCGCCAAGGAGACCGCATTCACCGACGACGCTGAAGTGCGAGCGGGGTACTACGCGGAAGTAGAAGAGCTACTCCGCAAGCAACTGCCCGGCGTGAAAAAAGTAGCCATCTTCGACCATACCATCCGGCGACGGACGCCAGGCTCAGCACGCAGTCCTGTGCAGCTGGTGCACGTGGATCAAACACCCAAAGCTGCAGAGGCGAGGGTGCGTCGCCACCTGCCCGAGGATGAAGTAGAGGAGCTGTTGAAGGGTCGATACCAGATTATCAATGTCTGGCGTCCGATTGAGAATCCGGCTTCTGATTTCCCGTTGGCGCTAATTGATTGGAGGAGCATTGCTCCTTCTGATTTTGTCAAGGTTGATCTTCTTTATCCGAAGGAGTGGCAGGAGAGTGGAGAGGTAGCGCCTGATTCGGAGTCGATCTTTTCGACGGAGGGGTATGAGGTCAAGGGGGGAGACTTATGCTATCGCTCCTAATGAGGGACATCGTTTCTTTTACGCTAAGGATATGACGCCGGAGGAAGTCATGTTCATCAAGTGTTTTGATTCAAGGAGCCACACTATGACTGAGGGAAAGACAGATATTGCTCATGGGTCGGGACACACTGCTTTCTTTGATCCGCAGACTCCTGCCGGATCGCCGGGGAGGCAAAGCATTGAAGTTAGATGTCTAGTTTTTTACGAATAGGCATAAGGGATTCTCATGTTGTAACGAGTGATGCTGTTTGAATTTCAAGTCTTTTGCATAATTTCTACCTTTATACCATCTACATTACTATTACTCATGTCTTTTACATATCTCCACTCTGTACTCCGTATCCCCAATCTATATCACTCATATCCCGAGGTCATAGTGGGGCTCGGCCACTCATCTTCTTGGCTATGTCATGGGAAGGCGCCTTTGATAAGTGAATCTTCTAAACTTCAACGTAAAAGCTCCATGAGATCCTCGGATTACCAATTTATCCTTTCTTGGCAAGATTGTATGAACTTCAGTGAGTCACGGAACATTCCATATTTAAAGACCCCTCCAAGACATGAACTTTTAGTTCTTGACTCAACTCCAATTCAACACATATTCATAGCACGCATTCTAAGCTGCTCTTCTATTTTCTCATTACATCAAACCCGCTCAAAAGGGCGGCTAAATAGTGAGCTTTAACACCGATAACCCCACCTCCGAAACATGCTAACATCTACCCCAGGATTCAAAATGTCATCAACATCAGAAATACGAGACCAACCCAAAACCTGGACAAAGGGAGAATACCTAGTCTCAACCGACATATCCCTAATCCCCATCAACACCCTAAACACCTGGTACGCTGGCGAAGAATTCTACTGGGCAAAGCCAATGCCAGAGCCCGCATTGCGCGAAACATTACAAAACTCCCTCTGTTTCGGGCTATACCACAATCAAAGCCAACCGGACAAAACACCAGAGACCGACTCATCACCAGACTCACTCGAATTCGTCGGCTTCGCACGCTGCGTGACAGACTACACGACATTCCTCTTCTTGACAGACGTCTTCGTCCTTTCCTCGCTCCAGGGTCTCGGTCTGGGAACATGGCTTGTAACCTGCGTGCAGGAGGTTATCAAGCCAATGCCCTATCTACGGAGATCGCTGCTGCTTACTGGGGATTGGAAGCGGTCGGTGCCGTTTTATGAGAAGGTTATGGATATGGAGCTTATGATATGTAATCCTCCCGTTGATGGGAAGGATGCGGTGGGCTTTGCTGTTATGCAGCGGAAGTCTTTCGGGGCTCCTGGGTTTGTGGGACAGTCTTAGGTGGTTTCAGTGGAGTTTAGAATGAGTTGTAAGTAATTATATTATAAATAGAAGTGTTGTGGTTAGAGGTACAGTTCGTTCAGAAGAGACGCTTTTGATTCCATCCGTTCATAGCTCATATGATTCATGACCAAACATTATAAGAGAATAATTCACCCAAATTACCAGTTCCAGTATGCTCCACGCCAAAATCCTGGGTCCTAGATCCAAGAGTTGAAATTCAAATGGTCATGAAAAAATCATCCCGTCAGATCCCGTCTCTAGTCAAAGCCATAGCCCCCGGTAGTAGGCCCTAGTGTATCCCACGGAACAGAAGTAGGATTAATCCAATTCTGCGGATGCATTTGCCCGAAACCGGAATTCATGGTGTGCTCACTGGAGGTCGATGCGATAGTGGGTACCGGCGATCCGGATTGTGAGTGTGGGTGCGAGAGGGCATAGCTGTCCTGCATTGTCATCCCCGGAGAGAGGTTCGGCATTGAGAGCGGGGTTTGAATGCTTGGTAGGAGGTGGTTGTGGGACTGGGATTGTATATTGGCTTGGTTTTGTTGGTGTTGGACTTGGACTTGGACTTGAGCCTGGGCCTGAGCTTGAGCTTGGAGGTGGGATTGAGAGTGGCTGAGTGATTGGGGGTTGTATTTTGTGGAGGCAACGTCGCTAGTTTGTATGTTAGTTCACTGATCCGAGGGAGGAACAAAGAATAGGGGTGTAACCTGGACATACATCATCTGTCGAATTATAGGAACGGCCTTGCTACAGAAGACACTGCGGACTGAGAGCGAGGCAAACATATCTAGTGCTCGATCGAGAATCTCTTTGATCTCTTCGTACTCGTGCTGGCCCTCGGGAATGAGCAGGATAACAGCCAGTGTTACTGCAGCGTGGAACGCGTGGAAACTTCCTAACCCACCGGTGTACCATTTATAGGGCTTGAACGATGGAGTTTCGAGAAGAATCTCAAAGATGGAAAGTGAAGCTTTGGCGGAAGCGATGCACTTTGCCCTTGTAGCGCAGGTTTCAGGCGTAATCTCGCCTTGTAGATAGCGGCAGAGATTTGGACGGAGGAGAAGGAGGAGAAGTTGATGGATCTGACTGTAGAGGATGTGGTGGTTGGCTTGGTGGTGAACGAGTAGGGGTTTGTTTGTATCAGGTGTATAGCGGGCATCGACCATTTCCCGGACGGAGATGATTTCCGCTTCGAGGTGGGAGGTGGTGAAGCGGGATGTATTTGGGTAGCTGAATATCGTTTCGCAAATCTTCGAGGAGATTCGATATAGTCGGAAATTCAAAAGGAGGTAGGTCATCTGTGTTGGGCGGGGGAATGGCGTAGGTGATGGTCTTTTTATGCTTGGGCTGGTGAGCAAGTCAACGTCGTCGATATCTGCAGGCATTTTCACGTCTCGGGTTAGACTCTGCTGGTCAAGACTCCCAAATGCTGTGTTTTGGACTGTGTACAGCATCATTAATCCGGCCCAGACCCGTCGTCGCTCTTCTCGCTCAATTGGCCCAAGAGTAAACCGCTCTGGGTCTAAATGGCAACCCATTGATATTGCAACATGATGCGTGAATCCCAGCAATGTCCAGATTGGGAGACCTCGGTGAACACGGGCATAATTTATGAGTACTAGAGCTTGTAACGAGTTGATCGAATGTCTGGACATCACTCCATCGGCAGCGAGGCACCGCAACGCGGCAGACCGATATCTTGCTGACAGAACTTTGATATTCCGGCTGACCGCACGCTCTCGCCCCAGATCAGCCAGCAGAGGGTGATCATCATCGAGTGCGCTTACAGCGATGGCAAGAATGGCGAATAGCAAAGCCAGCCATGATGTAGACACGCTTCCTGGATCATGGCAGAAATGCTGATACTCGGCTTCGAAAGTCAGGTCGTGAAGAATATGAAAAACCTAACCTGTTGTCAGCTAGCGTCCCCCCCATTTGTGTCCACATGACATACCGTCGAAAAGACCTGAAAGTAAACATCCTTCAGAGTATCACAATACCGACCAGGCGGCAGAATCGCTAATAACTCAGCACGCGAGATACTCCCATTCTTCGCCAACGGAATCTGCAAATCATCATCGTCCTCCGCGACATCCGAATCCAAATTCTGCAAACACTCCGCAGCGGGGCTCTTCGCCACTAAAGACTCCCATTGCGAAGCTAGTGGCACATAGCGCACATGACCGGAAGACGAAGTACGAAGCGTGCCAACGTTATCCAACATGGGGCCGAGGGAGTCCCAAGTCTCCAATCCAGAGCTAACATCAGGCTCGGAGAAACTACCAGCTGCACTTGTCCCACCCAGTGGCGAGACAGCGCCACCGGTGGGCGTGCTAGCATGCGAGGTCATCTGTTTTTGGAGCATGGCTTCCAGGTTCCGAATTCGTGCTAGTAGTTCGTTCTGCACTGCGCTGTCGCCGGGTGAGGATTGCTCCGTTGAAAGTCGCGGTTGGCCGAGGTAGATACAGTCTTCGGCCCCTAGACCGCGCCGCACGCATGTTTGACATGGCCGGCCGTCGCGCGAGCATCGGATCTTTCGTGTTCGGCAGGCCTGGCAGCTGATGGGGAGGCGCTTGCCTGTGGAACGGGATGAGGCCATAGATGTGGGATTGAGGGGGTCGAAGTCGAGGTGCACTGGAGTGAAGCGCATTCACCTCCTCTTCTAGCTACCGAGGAAGAGCAAGAAGATTGTCGAGTGGAGAGGAGCTCAGGAAAATGGAATGGTCGGTTTCAAAAAGGGGTACTCGGGTACTCGATACAGGTTGTGGGTATGGATGGGTTGTCTGTTCATGGGACCCATAAGGGAGATAGAACAATGGATGGGCGGGGACGTTTTTCACAGTTGAGATAAAAGCGGACAGTCCAAGTCTTTCTATACTTCATCCAATTTGTAATAGGAGGCAACCCTTTTTTTAATTTTTTTTTATCTTGCAGCCACATAGTGCGTTAATCGGAGTGAACGTTAGCGTCATGGTTATTTGCCCCCTGTGAAGAGGGTCAAATAGAAAAGCATAAAAAGAATTATCAAAAGGGTCTAGGGTTGAAAGTGACAACATTCCTAATACGGGGAGCCCGATGCAAACCTTTCCAGAAGCAAATTTGATCGAAAGGGTCCAGGGCGATCAACCGGAGATGAATATCCGATTCTACTAACTGAATGTAGTATAGACTGTATCAGATCTTTGGGATAGTTTAGTCCTAATAGGGCGTCGATACACTTCTCATCCATGGTTTCCTCATTGCTCGGGCCTTCTGGACCATCTCGTGTGGGGAGGATATTGAATCTCCCGTAGGACCGAACAAACCACAAATATACTATGGTTTGTTTTTTTCTGCGACATCAAAGGGATAACTCGACGTTCAAAGCCGAGTTGCTGTTGCCACAGTACGTGGCTAAGCCACACAGGTTGTCGATCATTTCCCCCCTTGCTTCAGCTTGTTGGTAAAGCGCAAGCGCTGAACTCCGGAATAGGCTCCAACACGAGTGTTGATTGGTCAAGATGGTTTTCCCTTAGCCACATCCTGCACAATGACAACCATTCCCCCCTGTCTCGATGACCTGGCAGTGCGCCATACTTAGAATCTGAACTAAAACTCCACGTGAAAATTCTGACTTTCAGCTCCCCGGATGTGTCAGTTCCAGTATCTTGGTTTAGATTGTTTATTTTTTTTTGCTTAATTTCTATATCAAAGACTTGACCTAGGCAGATTTTACCAATTACTCTGAACTCAGATAAAATAGTTGGCCTAGTAGATCATTTAATATAAATTAATATACTCCTGAGAGAAATCCGCTCTCCAATATTCCAGTCCATTCATTGTGCGATCTAATTAGTGTGGCTCGGACCCTCGTGTTCCTGGCTCTCGGGAATCCGGTAACTTTAACGTTCAACTAGTTAGTTAAAACCGTCATTTTGATCCCGAACTAAATCCGAAATCAATACGTAGAAAAGGGAATGATAAAAAAAAAGGAATGTATCCTTTCCTTGAAAAGAAAGAATGAAGGTGAAGGTCTAATGTACCAAAAGTACGTGGCAAATAATCTCCCGATCTCGGGGGCATCCAGGGGAGTCAAATGTTCCAAATCATACGTGGTTCAAGCTACGGGATATTTAGTGTCTCTAGCTTCGGTGTTTACGTCTCGTGATCATTCGGTCGAGATCATCCCACCGCGTGGCATACCACAGATGTAGCATTAGCTATGCAATTAGATATTGTCAGAGAATTTGGCATGTGAGCTCTGATAATAGGCACCGGTCGAACGGCGAATTATGCATTCAATAAATCCGATCTCTAGACTGCTCTATTTCTGTGGGGAATCCAGGGCTGAAACGGAGGCAAAACTGCTGCATTCAATTTAAATACTTCAGCCTAATATGCATGATGTTTTACTTTTGTGGCTTCGGTAGTTCTGAGGCAAATTAAAAGAAGCCACAAATTTAACCTTTGAAAGGGGGAACCTATCTATACAATCTGCTCCTGAGTCTACAATTTATTTCTGGGGTTGCGGTTGAAATTATTTCATACGCTAATCAAGCCCTGCTAATACAGTTCAAACTGCCTTTGCTGTTCCATCGGTCGATTCAATGTGCTGCGTCTCGCCAACCACACTGATCGCACGCTTAGTTCCCATGTCCTGATCCACGACCTGGTCACCGAACGCGGCAGCCACTTCTTCGAGGGTCTTCTGCTTAGTTTCCCTAAAGGGGTGTTAGCTTCTCATTTCTTTTCATCTCTCTCTCTCTCTCTCTCTTCATCTCTGATAAAAACAAATAGAACGGAAATAGATCGGCGACTTACGGGAAGTAAAAGTAGGCAATCACTAAGAAGAATGCAGAACATGCTACAAACACATAATAATAGTTCTCGTGAATGTTGGCAAAGGCACTGGGTCCAGCCTCGGTGACTGTTTTCGGGTGAAGTTAGTAATCACATACAGGGAAGCATTATATTCATAAGAATGAATGCCAAACATACTGCCAACGTTAACGATG